AAGCTGGTGTCTTCTTGTGCTGGTTATTTCAGCAGAAAAACCTTCTGACTGAGAAAAATCACCCTCCGGGCTGCCCAGAGGCTCCCAGATGCCACCAGTTTTCACGCTGCTCCCGATCTGCCATCTTCTGTAGCAGCTCTCCTGGAAAAAATGCTTGAGAGGCTTAAAAGGGAGAGATCTTTGGATGGCTTTCAGCGGCACCGTAGACACTGGGACAAAAACCAGGTTTTTAAGAGAAATCTCAGTGGCAGATGGTGATGGCATCCATCCAAGAGAGCTTCCTCCTTCCTCCCTTTGAAGGCACGGAATTTTCTAGTTCTCCCGTAGGGAAGAGCTGTCGCTGCCCTGCTTGTCCATGTTGGCTGTCTTCCTGTCAATGTAAGGAAAAAAGATCCCTACCCTGTTCTACACACTGTTGAAATAATTTCCACCTCTTATCTGTGTGCCGCACCCCTTTCCTACAAAAATGGGTTTATTGGGAAATTTTGTCCATGCCCCAGATGACTTGGCTGCATGGAAATTCCTTTATGGTAAAGAAGTACTTAATTCTGAGCTAGCACGCTTCTTCCTTGGATTCTTAACCTGTGGCTGGGGTGTATATAATGAGAGATCCATAATTAAGAATCATTTGGTTTAAGTTAATTACCTTAATAGGCTGTCTTTGAGAACTGATCCCCTGTGAGTACTGGAGGTGTAGCCGAGCTGCTGGCAGATGGGGAGCCCCAGCTGCTCCGTGCAGACGCTTTCTGCAGCTGGTGCGGTGTGGAACTGGCTCCCGTGTGATGTTGTGTCCCTGCTGGCGGGGGTTGGACGCTCTTTTTGGGGCCAGCTGGGGTTTAGCGGGGCCAGTGCTGAATGAAGACTAGTAAAGCCCTGAGCCCAACCCCACCGGTTCACCCCAAGCTCTACAGGCAGCGTTCCTGTTTCCCTGTTCAGCCAGACTGTGGTGTGCGTGACGGGATGCCTGGCGTGGTTCACCCCACGCTTCATGTTCTGCTGGTTCAGTGGCAGCTGTGACACCTCAGTTTGTAGATACTAAAAAACTGAAGGTCTTGAGGGCACTGAGAATGAGCTGGGATGGAGTTTCCAAGGAGCTCCTGGTTTTTGGTGAGTAGGAAAGCTTCTTAAACTGATGGGCTGAGTTGTTGAGGCCTTAAAACTTGGAAGGTTTGTGTCTTTGAGTGTAGGAGTTTGGGGTGTGAATTTCACAGAGGTCTTTGTACTGAACTGCTGCTGTTCTAGTGCACAAATGCATGTGCCGCCAGCTGAGCATCTGCTTCCAAGTGGAAGCTTGTGCTGAAGCCGCCCATAAGGCACTTCCAGTTACTTGGGTTCGCTGGGGTACCGCGCCGTAGTTTTCAGAAGCTTTTCTGCTGCACCCTAGTGAGGGCAGCACCGGGACCCCACTCCGTGCTCTCTCCTGGTCCTGCCCTTGCGTAGCTGGGCAGGGTGAGGCTGGGGAGAGGATTGCTGTCTCTGAGCACAGGGATGCTTTTAAAGAAAAACACGTGCAGGCTTCATAATGCAGGGAAAAAAAATTGCATGTCCTGACAGGAAGAAATATATTCCAGAAATCCAAAGGAGGTTTCCCGGCACCAGGACAGGAGGGTTTTGGAACCAGTCCCTTCCACAGAGCAGAGATGACGGAACAACTGAGTGCTTTTAAGAGGGGGGAGTTTGTGAAAAGGGAGTCCAGGATGTCCGACACTGTGACAGGCAGGAAGAGACGTGAACTGGCATGTACCAGTTCTACTCGCTGGAGGGACTGGGGCAGCAGCAGAAGGCTCTGGTTTGGTTGCCAGTGCCCTATTTTTACCTGTGTGACGTTGATGGTGTTTTAGTGCTTCTTCTCTCAACAGCAGGGCCTGGTGCTTGTTCAGAGCATTTTTCTGCAGTAGCTAGCTGGTAAATCTAGGACTGTCATCTAAAGAAAGACAAAACACTTGGAGGGGGGTCCCATTCTGCCATTAATATGGGGATTGCTGACTTACGGGTGTCTATGCTGTACTGGAGATGACATTAATATGTCATCAGGAGGGCCTGTGTGCAGGTTTTTGGTTTAAGGTGTTGGGAAGAGCAGGCGAGTGGAGCAAGCGGATGCTTGGTGGGTGTTGTTTGCTGCCCTGGAGCCCATCATGGAGAAGTAATGTCCTTCTCCGTGTTTGGTGAGTGTGGTCTCCAACTCCTGTTTGCCAGGTGGGAGATCATGGAACCGCAGAATCACAGAACGGTTTGGGTTGGAAGGGACATTAAAGACCATCCAGTTCCAACCCCCCTGCCATGGGCAGGGACACCTTCCACTAGACCAGGTTGCTCAAAGCCTCATCCAGCCTGGCCTTGAACACTTCCAGGGATGGGGCATCCACAGCTTCTCTGGGCAACCTGTGCCACTGCCTCAACACCCTCTCCGGGAAGAATTTCTTCCTGATGTCCAAGCTACATCTCCCTCTTTCAGTTTAACCCCATTACCCCTTGTCCTGTCACTACAGGCCCTTGTAAAAAGTCCCCCCCAGCTTCCTTGTAGCCCCTTCAGGTACTGGAAGGCTGCAATAAGGTCTCCCCGGAGCCTTCTCTTCTCCAGGCTGAACAAGCCCAACTCTCTCAGCCTGTCCCCATGGCAGAGGTGCTCCAGCCCTCTGAGCATCCCTGTGGCCTCCTCTGGACTCGCTCCAACCGGTCAGTGAAGCAGCTCAGGTGCTACTGCCACACTCTTCCACGACAAGGCCCTTTTTTTTGGGGATACAGAAACCCTGGAGTTTGTCCTGCCTTTCCTTTTACTTATACTCTGGGGTCTTGGACTCCTCGTCCCAGGAGGGTGCTGCTCCTTGTCTGGTGGGGATGGGGTTCTCCTGACGTTATGTGGCGAGGCTCAGGCAGCCAGCGTTCCTCTGTTGGGAAGGAACTTCACTGTTCCATTGATTTTGCAGAGCACTTTGGTAAGGTTTCCTGAGGGAATCTTGCAGTAAGGCACATATGCTGAACTCCTCTCCAAGTAAAGCACTTTCCGTCCTGAAATGCTGACAGAGTTGGCAATGTACAGGTGAGCAGGTACCAGTGTACTGGTGTACAGGATGAGCAATTGTCAATGACAAAAATCCTTGAATTGCTCCTGCTGCCTTTCCCCGTTGGGCCGTGAGTCAGATTTCTCTCTGTCATTCATGGACAGCTGTTTTTATGTCTGTTCCTGTTTGAAGTAGATGCCTTAGAAATGGAAAATGATTTGGGTTCAGAGGCGCCTCCTAAGCATGGAGTTTGCATCTTCTTTCAGGATCTCTTTTGGCGATGGTTGGGGATGGCCTCTGTGTAAATATATAAAAATAACTGTGGGATTTCAAAATGCCGCGGGTCAGGGATGGCTCTAGCAGCTCCCGGGGAACGGTGATCCCCAAAAAGCGCCTGTCCTACCTCCGCCCTGCGCCGCAGCCACGTTACCCCCCCGGGAGACGCCACGTGGTCTGCAGACATGCGCCTGGCTGCCCTGTGGCTTTCCTGAGACGGTTTTCTTTGGGAATGACTTCCCCTCCTGCCCCCGAGCTGTGTTCTTTGCTGTCCGCCTCTAAGTGCTGCCTGTCTGAGTGTTGCTTTCTGATGCTTGCTGCTCCCACAGCTTGAGTGGGGGGGTCTCGGCCTGCACCCCCTGTGCTGCTGAGGCCAGGCACGTGCTCTCGCTTGGGCCATTCTGTGTTCTGGGAGTGGCTGCCGATTCCCAGCGCCGAACCCGAGGCGGGAGGAACGCGGGCTTCGTTGTGCCGCGTGCTTATCTGTCCGCAGCTGCAAAAGTACCAGCAGCATGCTGCCGTGCCCGTCTCCGATGTGTATGAATTTACTGAAACCCAAGACCCCTCTTCCCAGGGGAACATCAGGAACATCTGTGCTGCGTTCGGGTTTAGTTTCTAACCATTCCTTTTATTCCTTCTGGAAAAGCCGTGGGGGTTTAATCCTGCTGCTATAAGCCATAACATGTGGCTACGTTTTTCTCTTCGCTCCGGAGCCCGTGTATCTTGTTAGCTCCAGCCTATCCTCTAGCTCATTAATAGTAATATTTATCCGTTCCAGTTCTCGGCTCTAATCGCAGATTCCATCTGAGCAGGGTTTGCTCTTGATCCTTTCCAAGAAGCTCATTATCTCCTACAGCCATAAATGTTGCTGGGCCTGACACTAATGCATATTTTGTACCAGGGGGGGATTTGACTAATAAAATAATCCAATTAGACATTTGTTTTTGTCTCCCCGGGCCATTTTTGATTGCTTGTCTACCTCAGTTATGTGTTGTAATTAGTTACCGTTTGTACATCCCTTTGATGTGAAAGCACCGGTGTTACCCTTGGCGCTGGATCAGGACTTCATGGGAGAGGTAGCTGGGGATTCAAACGGCAGCGGGCGTACGGATGCGGTTAGACCTGCGCTGTGTGGTGGTGGTGCAAGGGCTTAGAGGGTTGAGTATCAAACGTTGGGAGCTTCTTAGCACGAGGAATCTCAAAACAGGAGTTAAGTCCATGTACAGAGGAGTCTCAGCCACGTTTCTGAAAGATAGACCAGGCTGCTAACGTGTTCTGTCTTTTTTCACAAGGGCAGGGAGTGACAGGACAAGGAGTAGTGGGGGTAGTGGGTTTAAACTGGACGAGGGGAGATTTAGATGGGACATGGGGAAGAAATACTTCACGGAGAGGGTAGTGAGGCACTGGAACAGGTTGCCCAGAGAAGCTGTGGATGCCCCATCCCTGGAAGTGTTCAAGGCCAGGCTGGATGAGGCTTTGAGCAACCTGGTCTAGTGGAAGGGGTCCCTGTCCATGGCAGGGGGGTTGGAACTTAATGGTCTTTAAGGTCCCTTCCCACACTTACCAGTCTGTGATTCTTGTGTTTTCCACTTCAGAAATAGTTCGGACAGCCCTGGGTGCTGGAGTCCCTAGAGAATTGCATGGGTTAATTCCGTTTATTCAGTATTTTGCTGGTGGTATGGCAGTATCACACCGTTTTTTTTTTTCTTTTTTTCTCCTCAGTCTTTCCTTGGTTTGGCTTGGATATCGGAGGGACCTTGGTCAAACTCGTTTATTTTGAACCAAAGGACATCACTGCTGAAGAGGAGGAGGAGGAAGTGGAAAACCTCAAAAGCATCCGCAAATACCTGACGTCAAATGTAGCCTACGGATCTACAGGCATTCGGGATGTGCACCTTGAACTAAAGGACCTTACCCTGTGTGGACGTAAAGGCAATCTGCACTTTATACGCTTTCCTACTCATGACATGCCTGCTTTTATTCAGATGGGAAGCGAAAAACACTTCTCAAGCCTCCATACTACCTTATGTGCCACGGGAGGTGGAGCGTACAAATTTGAGCAGGACTTTCGCACAGTAGGCATTTTTGGCTTCTATACGATTAGGATCGGGTAGTTTTGTTAAAGCGTAAAACTAGAAGGTTTTCTCCGCAGCCTGTAAAACTCCTCTAAATCTTAGCTTTGGGAGAGTGTACCTCACTCAAAGTAAACTTGGTTCAGGAAACCGCGCGTGGAGTCGAGTTCCCATCTCCCAGTTAGGGTGCTTTCTTCCCTGAATGCATGCCATGTGCCTGTAACTAAAATTACTCACCAGCTTCCACGGCGTCTGCTCTTGCAAGGCTGTCTCTGCATTATTAATCTCTAATCATGCTGATCCCAGTCCTGTGGGTTTTTTTTTTTCCTCATCGCCATCTTTTCGCATGCTGAATGTTTGCCTGGTTGTTCCTTTGCTCCGGTGGCTTCGTGCCTAACGCATGTGTGAGCGAGCCGAGCGGGCTGCGCTCGGATTCGGTGGTAAGCTCGGCGAAAGGAGGTTAGTAGCTGGGGTTTGACAGCATCCTGCGGCTTTGTTGTCCGTTCGATTCTTTTCCGTAGGAGAAAACCTTGTGTGATAAATACTTTTTTTAACCAGGGCTTGAAAAAATGCGTTGGATAAAGAGGCTTTTTGCGCAGTCGAGGCAGTGGCCTGAGGGGAGAACAGTTTCATACCTTCCTCCCTTTATTTGGTGGGGTTTTGGGGGATAATTTATCTTCTTTTGGTCAAACAGTTCAGTCTCTTCTCATTTCCCATCGTTTTTCACGCTAATGCCTCGGAGTCATTGGAAGTTGGTGGGATTCTCTCGGCATCCATCTGTGGATCCAGTTGTCCGCTCCCCACCCTTTCCCACCTGTGCGCTGGAGGGACAGGACGGTTAGCAGCCCGTGTGCTGGCGAGAGATGGAGCCCTCCTGCCGCCTGCGCTTCTCGGCCAGTGCAGGGAGGGAAGGAGGTAGCCGGGGAACGCGTTTTTCTAGCCCTGAGCGTAACCACGCCGCCTCCCTCCTCAAGCTGCTGCTTAAATGTTCATTTTCTTCTCCTCCCCCCCCAGATGGGTGATCTTCAGCTTTGTAAGCTGGACGAACTTGACTGCCTTATTAAAGGAGTTTTGTACATTGATTCGGTCGGATTCAACGGGCACTCGGAGTGCTACTATTTTGAAAACCCGACGGATGCTGAGAGGTGTCAGAAGCTCCCGTTCAACTTGGAGAATCCCTATCCTCTCCTTTTGGTGAACATCGGCTCAGGAGTCAGCATTTTGGCTGTGTATTCAAAAGGGAACTATAAACGGGTCACGGGCACCAGGTGAGTGCTTGGAGGGAGGGAAATTCACCTTTGGGTTTTGTTGTAGGGTCTGGAGGGCATTTCTGCCTTGTAGCTGAGGTTTTCGGGGACAAGCTGCAGTAAAGGGGGTGAGTTGAACCACCGAGCTCCTGCTCATGCGGCAGTCCCTCATCTCTGCCAATAAAGATCCCGCCTGGAAGCGGGAATCTGAATTTCATGTCTTGGTTTCCTTACTTCAACGAGTCTCTTTAATTCCTATAACTGAAAAAAACAGCTTCTGAGCTGGCTTATGGGCCATCAGAGAGATCCCTTAGTTTGGGATTATCCCAAATATACTCACACTGTTAACAGCTGTTAGCGTAGATCCTAGCAGGAAAGATTTGGAATCATAGAATTGTTTTGGTTGGAAGAGTCCTTAAAGACCATCAAGCCCAACTGTTAACCCAGCACTGCCAAGCCCACCACTACACCATGTCCCTGAGCACCTCATCCAAACGTCTGTAAATCCCTCTGGGGATGGTGACTCCACCACCTCCCTGGGCAGCCTCTTCCAATGCCTGACAGCCCTTTCCGGGAAGAAAAGGTTCATCCTGACTTCCAAAAGTTACTTTTTTTTGGTGGAAGGGAGGCTGGCACGGCAGTAATTCTCCACAGATGCTGGGCTGCTGCAGGTGCCCCTGAAGATGTGGCTGTCATTGCAAGGCAAAGCCAGAGTTCTTGGTGGCTTTAAGCTTCCCGGAATTTCTTGAAAGTTAGCAATAGGAATAAAATAAACCCTGGCAGTATAGATACTACACATCATTAATGGGGTGTGTGCACAGTAAAGTGAACAGGACATGGTGGTGTTGGCCTTTTTGTTGCCCTGAGTTTTGAACAGCTGTGTTCTAACACCCCGGTAGCCCCTCAGGTCTGGTATTTAGTTTAAGATCAACTTCTCCAGGTGCTGGGAAGAAGGTGGATGTGGTAAAATAAGACTATTCATTTGTCGTTCAGAACCATGCCCTCTGCAGGCGGCTGTGCCATGGGGGGTTCCTTACAGGCTGTGAGGTTTTTGAAAGTAAGAGATTTAGAGAAAAGGGTCTGCAGTGACAGGACAAAGGGTAACAGGTTTAAATTGAAAGTGGGGAGGTTTAGATTGGACATCAGGAAGAAGTTCTTCCTGGAGAGGGTGGTGAGGCACTGGCACAGGTTGCCCAGAGGAGCTGTGGATGCCCCATCCCTGGAAGTGTTCAAGGCCAGGCTGGATGAGGCTTTGAGCAACCTGGTCTAGTGGAAGGTGTCCCTGCCCATGGCAGGGGGGTTGGAACTGGATGGTCTTTAAGGTCCCTTCCCACCCAAACCAGTCTGTGATTCTGTGATTTAAACCTGCTGCCCTCCCAGGGTTATTTCACTGACAAGAAGAAGCTGAAGGAATGGGGCAGCCGGAGCCAGCTCAGCTGCATAGCTGAAAGTCCTGACTTTCGGAGGAGCGAGCCGTCCTTTTTCTCTGTCCCTTCAGAGGGCCCGAGGGTGACGTCCATTTGGCTTTGTGTTGCAGCCTGGGAGGAGGAACCTTCTATGGTCTCTGCTGCCTTCTTACCGGTTGCTCCACCTTCGAAGAGGCCCTCGAGATGGCATCCCACGGAGACAGTACCAAAGTGGACAAGCTGGTGCGGGACATTTACGGAGGAGACTACGAGCGATTTGGATTGCCGGGCTGGGCCGTCGCGTCCAGGTAATGACTCGGCTGGGTTTATTTTCATTAGATATTCTGCAAGGATGGAAAAAACGGATTTACGTGGCTGAGGAAAGCAAGCGTTCCTTCCGCTGTTTTGTTCTAACAGGTGTAAATTACTGATAGCAACACTTTTTAAAGTGAGAAATAAATACCCCCATGATGAATCTCTTTGTTTAAATTAGCAGTTCCCGTTTTCTCCTGGGATTCTGATGCAAACGGGCCTTTAACCCAAAAACTGTCTTTGCAGCTTTGGAAACATGATGAGCAAGGAGAAGCGGGAATCTGTCAGCAAAGAGGACCTTGCGAAGGCGACTTTAATAACCATCACCAACAACATCGGCTCCATAGCACGGATGTGTGCGCTTAACGAGGTACGGAGGGGAAATCTCTGTCGTCGCGTCCTGGCCAGAGCATCCCTCGTCTGCTCCTGTCACGCAGGGTCTCTCTTCCTCTGCGTACACTTCTGTAGATGTCCCTATCCCTGTTTTTGGACGGTCAGGGAGTGGTAATCCACTCGTTTCAGATCCTTTGGTACGCTCTGCCCTCGCACGTCTGCGCGGTTTGAGCCAGACCCTTGCGCTGTGAATGAGTTCGGTGTTGGCTCTTGGTCTCCTTGGCTCCTTCGCTTTGTTCAACAGCTGCTCTGCGGCTGTTTGAGCAGCAGCGGGTTCCTCAAATAACCTGCAGCGCTTGGGACCACAGAGGGAGATGGAGAGGTGGGCAGAGGGGCTGGACACCTTGTGGTTTTTACGAATTGCTCTCATTTTCTTGGTCAGGCCCCACCGCTTCCGCAGCCGTTCCTGTATCTCTGTGCTTTCAGCTTCTTTACAGTGCTGCCTTGTTGCGTTCATGTCAAGCAGCATTGTACAGGGCTATGAAAGAACAGAGGCGTGCTCACCACTCCACTCCGAGCCTGTTCCTGTGGGATGAGCGAACGGGGCATGCTCCCGACTCCGGTTGCGGTTGGCAGACACTTATGTTTACCTTCCTGTAGTGCTGAAACCAGGCAGGGTGTCTTACCAACAGTCCTGCCCACAGTCTCGTAGAGTCCTCGCTCTAGAGGACACAGCTGAATGCAAAGAGGATGCTGACTAGTCGGGGGAAAGCGTTAAGGAATGTGGGGATGGAAGGAATATCTGTGGAATGATGTGAGTGAAGGAGCAAACAGCACTTGATCCCGATTCCGCGGTATGAGGAGGAACTGAAAATTACTTCCCTGTTAGAGAACAAGGCGGCTTCGGAGTTCATCGCTTAGCTCAGAACTTCGTTGGGATTGAAAAGTTTGGGCCGGAAGTCTGATTTAAATCCAAAATGGCACTACTTGGCTGGTCTTTTGCTTTCTTTCAGGACTGTGTTGGTCATGGGCTTCTAAATCTTTTTTTATTTTCCTTCTTTTTTCTCCCTGTTAACAGCCATTCGGCTGTTTTAATGATGAGGCAAAGGGATCAGAGAGAGGAGATGGCATGTGATGATCAGTGTTCCTAGCCAGTATAAAGGGTCCCAGCAAAATATCAACCATTTTCATCCAGTTCCTAATTTGGACAGGCTGGGGCTACGCCTGTGGATTTCCTGGTAGTGTGGAAGAGTGAGAAAGAGCCTGTCCTAACACGTCCTGGCTGGAGCTGCTTTCGGAGAGAACTGTGGATGTTTATCATGTTCTGTAGATCCTGCCCGACACTTTCAGCAGGCACGTCAGTCACAGAACCACGGCATTGTTTTGGTTGGAAAAGAGCTTTCAGATCATCAAGCCCAACTGTTAACCCAGCACTGCCATGCCCACTGCTACACCATGTCCCTGACCACCACATCCACATGTCTCTTAAAACGCTGACTCCACCACCCCCCTGGGCAGCCCATTCCAATCCCTGACAGCCCTTTCTGGGAAGAAATTTTCCTTAATATCCAATCTGAACCTCGCCTGGCATAACTTGAGGTCGTTCCCTCTTGTCCCACAGCTTGTCACTTGGGAGAAGAGACCAACCCCCACCCCTCTGCACCCTCCTTTCAGGGAGCTGTAGAGAGCGATAAGGTCTCCCCTCAGCCTCCTCTTCTCCAGGCTGAACACCCCCAGCTCCCTCAGCTGCTCCTCACAGGACTTGTGCTCCAGACCCTTCCCCAGCTCCGTCGCCCTTCTCTGGACACGCTCCAGCACCTCAGTGTCTTCCTTGCAGTGAGGGGCCCAAAACCGAACCCAGGACTGGAGGTGCGGCCTCACCAGTGCCCAGTTATTTTATTTGTCTTCCGGCGTGGTCCCTTCCCTCCCAGTGCAGCCCCGGAGGTGCCAGCGCCCCCTTTCCCATCTCACCTCGCTCTATTGAACTGTCCCTCGCTGCCACCAGGCCCCAGGCTGACACGGTGTCATCTCCTGGGTCACAGATCAGCGCTGCGATTTTGGGTCCAGTCCTACAATTCTGAATTCGGAAAGCTGCAAATGCATTCCAGCTCCTTTCCCTGCGGCTCCTGTCCCCATGCACCAAGGCAGTGACGCTCCTGAGCTGCCGGGAGCAGCTGCTGGGGGTGATGCAGTTTCTCTGGGTGTCGTTGCTTTTCTGTCAACGGGTGACTTCCCTCCACTTTGAGCTGGTGGTTTTTCATCAAGTCCCAGCGGAAAATGCATTTGAAAAGCTGGATACAGCTTCAGCTGGATATAGGTGTAACGTTTTCCTTCTCACCTGAGTTTTCATCGTTGCAAGCAGAAAATGGAATTTAGCCTTAACGTTCCATTATTTATACTGGTTTTTTTCCTTAATACTTGCAGAACATTAATCGAGTGGTGTTCGTTGGCAATTTCCTCCGGATCAATACAATCTCCATGCGGCTTCTGGCGTATGCTTTAGACTACTGGTCGAAGGGACAGTTAAAAGCACTTTTCCTGGAACACGAGGTGAAATTACTTTTAAAATTTATTTTGTCTTCTGTCTGAATTAAGTCCTCAGTGAAAGAGCTGTGCAGCGTCTGTAGCTGTTGATCCATGTGCAGCCGGTTCCCAGAGCTTCACTGCAGCGTCCAGTGCAGGATCACAGAAACCCCCTGTGTCGTTCCTGTAGCTGATAGAAGTGTTGTTTGCTCCCAGGCTCATCTTCCTTCTTACATTTCTTTGAAGACTGTTGACAGTAGAGATAAACAGCCCTTCATCTCTGCTGGAGGAGAAGGACTGGGGGTACTGG